ATTTCCTGATAACATGTTTATGAAGCCTACGATATTAGCATTTTCCTTTATGGTTTCTGAGTTTGGATCATACTTTAAATAGACTATCTCACTCAGAAACAAAGAAACAAAAACATTCCCATGCTCCAAATATAGTTTTTATTGTTTCATTTTTATGTTTAAGTCTTTGATCCATATGGAGTTTATCTTGATTAAATTCTTTTCTGGATCAGTTTCCACTTGTCCCCAGACATTTATTGAATGATCTGTTTCATTGCCACTAATATGCAATACCACCTTTATCATATCTAAACTCTCATGTGCAGCTGGATCCATTTAGGGACTTGTGCTACATTGATCTGCTTTTCATGCATTTGGGTCACACTGTTTTAATGGCATTAGCTTGATAATATATTGTAATGTTTGATAGATTTATTTCTGAGAATTATCCTGTAAAGGTACAATAATCTAGACTGTAACCTCAGTAATATTAAAATATTGCTATTGATATAATTTTATATAAAAATATATCCGTATATACCAGGTGTGTATGAAGTCTGAAGACATAGATATTATTTTTTACAGATTGGAAATATCCTTGATGACATTGTATGTGTATGTGTATTCACCTATGTATGTTCTGAGACTTTATAAATAACCTATAGAACAATCAGTTTGACAATCATGAAATCAACAAGTAATCAAGCATAAATATGAACTATCAACATATTTCTTTAGAATCCCGAATTTGAGCTGTTAATTCCAATGATACTTAATCAGGGAAAATATTTTTTCTGTATTAAATGTTGTCCAGGATGATATCCTTAGAAAACATATTTTATGGGTTTTATAATCAGAAATGGAAAATATCTATTTCTCACATTAAAGAACCCAGTAGAAACTGAAGGAATATTATTTAGGGGGGCAGAGAAGTATATATTTATCATGGCTGATTTTGCATCCCTCAGAGCAGTGTTGGGCATCTTTGCAAGAGTCTTCTCTCAACACATTGGTCCAGATGCTTAAATCAGCCATCATTGCTCAAATGATTTATTCGGGTGAAACACCTCAAAATAACTGCAATCTGAAACCTCTTCTAGAAATGATGAAAGAAGTGTACAAGGTAAGTGTGCATCTAAAGGAATGTATATACCTTCTTACTAAATATAATTCCC